ATGATGAGTGGTGTATGATGAGTGGTGTATGATGAGTGGTGTATGATAAGTGGTGTATGATGAGTGGTGCATGATAAGCGGTGTATGATGAGTGGTGTATGATATGTGGTGTATGATGAGTGGTGTGATGAGTGGTGTATGATGAGTGGTGTGATGAGTGGTGTATAATGACTGGTGTATGATGAGTGGTGTATGATGAGTAGTGTATGATGAGTGGTGTATGATGGGTGGTATATGATGAGTGGTGTATGACGAGTGGTGAACGGTGAATGATATATAACTAATTCTTGAATGACCGTAATACGGAAATTTCATATATTAAATTTCGTTTGATTAAAATCCGGATTTTAATATTAGAATCTATTTTAAATTAGCAACGAATTGCTTTATTTTTTATTTTATTGTTATTTTAATTAATTTTACTTATACTAATCAAATATATATTTAATCTTTTAATGATTTTTTTTTATTATTTTAAATCCGATTAAATTTTAATATATTAAATAATATTTAATTATATATTAATTATTTTTTTACACATATTTTTATAAATTATTATATATATTACTAAAAATATAATAATTATTAAATATTTATAATATATTAAATATGTTTATATTTTAATTTTTATTATGTTGGATTGTAATTTAGGTATTTTTAGTCGAATATTTTAGGAATATTTAATATTATATTTTGAATAGGGTTGTTAAAAAGCGGTTGAGCAAAATGAATTTTTAAATAATTGTTAAAATTCTTTGAATTGATTGGCAAAAGACGATTTTGATTATAGCCGAACAGCATGGTAATACGAAAATTATTATATAATAGAATTGTGCCGCTGTATTATAGAATGCCGCGATAATGGCCTTTAGTCGGGCTATTGCCTAGATAAATGATTATAGCTATTACAATAAAGCTATGCCATTCTATATAGACGCTTCGTCGGTCATTGAAAATTGGGATTTATATCGGGGTGTAACGATTCCAAACAACCGAACAAGGATTTTTAAGGATAATTTAGGAAATTTGGATGGAAATAGATTTAAGGGGAATTATATATAGAAATATGAGCGAAAGGCTCCTAATAATGCTAATTTAATATAAATTATTGCAATGTAATTATGTCTTCTAGTGGATATATTATGGGAATTAGGGCAAAAATATATATTTGGTTTTTAATTCTATTCAACAGTCTGGCGCTCTAGTCAACTTACATAGAATACGGAAGCATCTTTTCTGAGAGGCATTGTCGGACTCATTCGGCAGATTCACCGGCGTCATGTTGAGTATGCGTCGAATGGGTGGCGATTCAACCGATAAATGTGCGACCCAAGA